GAAGTCTTACATCTTATTTTAAATCACTCTACATGTTTGTTCATATCAGAATCATTGACTTTTCAAATATCCGTTGACTTGTTTAGTGTTAATATTGTAACATCAAAATACATTTTTGTATATTTCTGTGTTTGAAAGATGAGAGACTATGTGGAATATTAAAGAATATTTTCTTTAGCTCCAAGATCTGGCTTACTGTCCATGTTGGTGAATGAAATGGTATCAGGCTATTTAATACTTTACAACCCTCAGCACATCTGTCCTTTCTTTAGATGCAAACTTGCATTCTTACATATTCTTTTTTTTTCTTTTAGGGTCACACCCAGAGATGCTCAGGGGTTACTCCTGGCTCTGCACTCAGGAATTACTCCTGGCAGTGCTTGGGGTATATATGCCTGGGGTTGAACCTGGGTCGGCCTGGGTAGGCAAATGTCCTACCCGCTGTACTATCGTTCTGGCCCGTTTTACATATTCTTTTACAGAATTCTTTTTCACAGGATTGCAAGAATTTTTCCAATTCTGCATTTCCTATCTTTTCTCTCACTGGATTTTCATTCTTCCACATTTTTCCAAACTTTTATTTTGTCTTAGTTGTGCTCTATGAGGACAAAAGCAATCTTTTTATTAGCTTTTATACCATCAGCAAGTGGTGTAACACTGGTATAATGAATAAAAAATATTTGTTGAATGCACTGTAGCACTGTCCTCACGTTGTTCATCAATTTGTTTGAGCGGGCACCAGTCACATCTCACAATAAATTGTGAGACTTCTTGTTACTGTTTTTGGCATATCGAATATGTCACGGGTAGCTTGCCAGGCTTTGACGTGTGGGCGAGATACTCTCGGTAGCTTGCCAAGCTCTCCGAGAGGGGAGGAGTAATCGAACCAGGGTCGGCTGCTTGCAAGGCAAATGCCCTACCCGCTGTGCTATCACCCCAGCCCATTTGTTGAATATTTAAATAAAATATTATGGTTTTATTTAACTTGCTTAATTTCACAATCTTGAAAATACTATTAATTTATCTCAATTTCCTTTCCTTTGAAATTAAGGAGGCAATTTAGAATGACTAGAGCAAGAATGCATGAACATCAAAATTTGCAGGACAACAAAATTTTGAAGAGCTTGGTGGCTGATTTCAAATTAAGTGCACAATCAAGGAAGACTTCCCCAATTTATAGATACTGAATTGAATTCCTTTCCTGCCTATTAATGTAGGAAAAGGCCAACTACTGATTTCTTATGTGTAAAATCAATTGCATCCTTTTGTTACTTTTAATCAAACTGTTGTAGGTGACTTATGTAAAGTACAAAGGAGAGAATCAGTAGCCTTGAGAAGGGAGTCTACTGCTTCCCTTTCTCTAAACCTCAGTCCCCTGGGAAAGGTTGCCTGGAAAATCTAGGAGCGAGTCTGATGATCACCTGCACAGTACAGATCTCTTGTTTCAGCAGCCTCCCGTGGCAGTCATCAAACCACACCTGAGTCCCACTTGTTCTGCTCTGCATGGGAAACTATCACTGACACCCAATTTCTTGGGGGAGCTGCAAAACTCGGATCAGTGTGAGAACTTGCTCTTTGCAAGAAAGGTAAATCAGTATTACATTCTTCCCAGCGTTTCCAGGACCACCACTTTCCCTCACAGATAAGAAATTCAGGAGAAGATGAATAGTGATGTTAAACAGTTTTTATTTAGAGATATGAGGAAGGAAAGAGAGTGTAATGTGTTCAAGAGAGAGTGTGGGTTTCTCCAAAGGAAACATATGAATGTACAAATCTCAGGTTGAGATTCAAGCCACCCCAATGGAGAAGCTCCCCTCCTGCCTTTACAGAGTTGGTTTTACAGATTTTCTCACAAACTGCCCCCAGGTGGGGTTTTCTATGGGAGATAAGAGTCTGTTGTTATGGCATTGTCAAGGTAAAGAGCTTGAAATTTTTGGTGGTCCACCTTCATGTATTTATTCACAACCCTTTGATGCTGCTGGAGCTTATCTCCAGAGGGGGTTCCAGAATTCTCTGGTCCTGTGCTGGCGCCAGTTAAAGTCTTATCAGACCTCAGTTCCGGTGCCCATAAAGTGGATCTGACCATAATGCTTTTTGGATAATTTTGGGCTAGAGACAAAATAACTTCTTTACATCCCGTCTCGCTTTTATTACTTCTGGACTCGGACACACGCTCACGGCCTTATGAAGAACTCATTGCCAGGTGCTTCCTCCTCCACCCTCATCTGTCTGCCTACTTAAAACAATGTCAAAATAGATATATTGTGCTCAAAGTATGAAAAGTCAAAGAGAGAAGTCCCTCACATATATTACACTTCCTTGCCTTCTCAGATTTAGCCTGGGAAGGAAAAAATGCCATACTGAATAGTCCGTGTTTATGTAAATCCTGTTCCATGTGCCCTCTGACTCCCCAGATGAGTGAGTGGGTGAAAGCATGCACATGCATTGTGATAGTGTGTGCATACCGTTACATGTAAGGCAAGAAAGAGAGTGACAGAGAAAGCAAGTCACAAGTTGTTGAGGCTCTGAATTGAAGTTTTGTTTTTAACAGGGCCCTTAGCAAACCAGAGCCAGGGGAAGTCATGGCCCTTAACAACCACCTCTCCCACATACTGGGAGAGAATTCAGATGCCCACTGCAGTACACTGGCCAAATTGCTTCTTGAGTGTTTCTCCCTGTTTCTGCTCCACTCAGCTATGGGGCATCTCTCTGCTTTGGTTGAAGCTGAAAGAGAGCCTTGAGTGCAAAGTCAAATTGAATTTGAACCTTTCTTTTGGGGGTGAGGGCCTTGGGTCACACCTGGCAATGCTCACTGATTATTCCTGGCTCTGTGCTCAGGGATCACTCCTGGTAGGGATTGGGGGACCATATGGGGTGCCTTGCAAACTCCAGCAAAACCACTGTACTATTGCTCTGTTCCCCAAATCTTTATCACCTTTCTCCCCACACTGCAACCAATCTTAAAATCCCAAGGTTTAGAAACAAAATGTGATGGATTCTCAAAAGTTTGTAGACTGAATTAAATGAGAGAATGTTACTTGAGACAAAGCAGCTTCCATATCCTGCATAACTGCACTCGGTACTGACCCTGAAGATAGGAAAAGCAATAAAAGTGATGCTGTAAGAAAATGTTTCTTGTTTATACCGCTGCATCTTGATCTTTGGCTGATCTAAGCACAAAGAGATCTCTTTCATTTCAGAGAAAGGAGGTTTATGATGTGTGGGAGAGCTAAGAACAATGGCCACAATTGATAGACTGGAGTTGCTCTCAGTTCTTGAGAGCCTGGAAACTCCATCTATAGATAAGTCCCAGAGGACAGAGCCTAATAAGGGCAGAAAGAGAACACAGCTTTCTTGGGAACTGGCTTTCCATTCCTCTGAGGCAAAAATACATTCACTTTATAGCACTCTGAATCAATTCCCCAAAATATGGTGTGGTGTCTTTGTTGGTGGCTAAAAATAAGTTCTTGTTATATCTTTATTCTTTTTGTCCTAAAGTCATCCAACCAGTTTCACTTGCAGAATATTAATTATGGTGAAACATAAATCATAGATTACATTAGAAGTATTTTCGAACAGAGCTCCTTGGTCTGAAGACTGACTTGCTATCCCCAGCTAAAGTCCCCTCTCTCCTTTCATGCTTCTTGCCAGCTGCAATTACAGGACAGTAAATCTCTAACAAATTCTAACTCAGCTTCTATAGGCTGGTCTTTAGAGTGCTGTCCTAGAGTAGCAATTTCTGTTTTGTGTGTTCCCCATCACAACCCTGAGCTTACTCCTGGTTTTGATGCTCAAGAATTATTCCTGGCTGTGCTTGAGACTGCGTGAAATGATTGAAATTGAACCAGGATCAGCCTTGTACAAGGCAAGTACCTCAGTCATTGCACTTTCTCTCTGGCCTGTGATGGGGATTTTGATGTTTCATATCGGGGGTTAGTGGGCTAGTGGGTTAGTAATCCAGAGTAGTAGATATGACTAATTTATTTTATTTTAGCTTTTTTAGATTTTATTTGTGTTTTATTTTAATTTATTTTTAATTGAATCACAGTGAGATACATAGTTACAAAGTTGTTCATGATTGGGTTTCAGTCATATAATGTTCCAACACCAGCCTCTTTACTCTTCGTGTATTTCCCACGATCAATGTCTCCAGTTTCCCTCCCACTATTCCCCTCCTCACCTCTATGGCAGGTACTTTTCTTCTCTCTCTCTCTCTCTCTCTCTCTCTCTCTCTCTCTCTATATATATATATATATATATATATCCACCCCTTTTGGACATTATGACTTGCCATATAGATATTGAAAGGTAATCATGTATATCCCTTTACCTAATTTCAACACTCAGTTCTTGTCTAGAGTAATGATTTCCAACTATTATTGTCATACTGGTCCCTTCTCTATCCTAACTGCCCTTCACCCCACACACACTTGTGGCAAACTTCCAACCACTGATTTGTCACAGCAATTTTATATTGCCCTTACCAGATCTTCTCTGACTGTACACTATCTTTCATCTAGCACCTTCCAATAAAATTAAGAAGAAATACACATTTATGTAGCACTAAGGGCTCATATTAATAGAAAATCCAAACAATTCCAAGTTGTTAATAAAAATAAAAGCAACTTAATTTTAAATCCACGAGGACTGCAGCACCACCACTGTGTTGAAGAAACAACCATATTTGATTCTGAATTAGCACAACGCTCTGAAACCCATTTTGTAAGAGAAAATAATCCTTAAAACAATGAATTGATATCAAGACCTGAGTTCTAGTCAAAACTCGGATTTATTGGGTTTCTTTGGATGATCTGCTTAGCCTCTATTTATTAGTGTCTCCGGCTATAAATAGAAATGATTTATCAGTTTAGTTCAGAGTATTGTTGTAAGAATGACCTGGATGATCTGAAAAACAAATAAACTCCTTGAACAAAGCATAATAAAAGTACAGTTGAATTTCAATTGTAGAGTTAAACAGAAATCACTCAAAGGACACAATGTTTCATTGAGAACATTCTTAATTTTATTTCTTTAATTTTATAAAATACATTTTGTAAGATAAGTTTCTAAAAGTTTATCCTTATATGTGTTAAAATTGAAATTCTATATCAGAAATGAAGGAAACACTTTCAGTTGATTAACTCTCTCCATGTGCATATATGTGTATGTATGTTTGAGAGTTTTTCAGGGAAGGGTTGGTTATTTGTTATGTTATTAAACCAAAATAAAACACAAGGTGTGGATTATGTCACTTTCCTTGATCTTGATTGGGTTCTTACAGAATGTTTTCATCTCCTCTCTCTAAGAAATTTGGAAGTTTATCATGTATACTTATGTGAAAACAAATATTAACTGTATTTTTGTAAAAGTCTTGCATCTCCTCAAACACCATCGAAACTATTATAGTGGGGTGTATGAAACAACTTTTAACAACAAAAGCACTAACTACAATCATACTCACAAAATCTTTCCTTCAATAAAGACCAACTCATCTTTCATTTTTAACCCAGAGTTAGCAAGCAAGAAAGAGAAACCTGAAACTTATTTGCTATTCAGGCTTCAATTTTTTACCCCATCTTATCACTTCTCATCCTTTTGGCTGAAACAAGACTCTTCCTATCTTTCTTCTTCATGGATGCTTACCAAATGAATAACTGGCAGCTAGTGAATGTGGTTCTGTAATCTATACCAGGAGAGAAGACCTGTCTGTTAAATTTGACTCATTAACACATAATATTGTTTAATCAAATAATATCCACTCGCTAAAAAAACCACCACGCTGGTTATTCAAATTGAGATTCAAACTGATTAAATCTGTTACTGCAAAGGGCATAAACATTTATAGGTATTCCAAATAGATCCATGGGACTAGTTAATATTAAATGTCACTTGTTATGTCCAGTGCCCAATTTTCACTTGTTAACGAATCAGTGAAAAATTCTCCAGAACTTTCTGATTCAACTGTAAACCAATAATAAATAAACTGAAAAAATGTGAAATGTGCCTCAATCTGAAACTAATCAAGATCTTCAAATCACCACTGTGACCAAATGGATAATACCCCATGAAAAGAGCACCATTGTGAAGACATGACAGAGGCCAAGGTACGCAGCTAATTAACAGGAGAGTTATCTATCCTTTGTCTACCAGAGGGCAGGCTCACTTTACACCATTAGCCATTAGCAACTGCTGCTCCTTAGGCCAGTCATTTTTCAGATGAGCTAGAGTTTCTCTCTGTGCTCAGCTCCTTGGAAACCACAGGTTGTCATGGTAGCTGTTATCAAGGAGAAGAGAGTGAGAAGACACTGGTGAAATCCTGTTTCTTTTCTTTAATAAGGTGTAAGGCCAAGCTCTGCCTTGTGTCTACACAGACACTACACTCCCTTATGCTGTAAGTAAGATTCGCTGAGTTAAGACTTAAATTGTTCATTACCATCGGGGTCACTGCTCTCTCTCTATGGAAGTGAAAGATCCTTGCTTTGACCCCTTTTCCCAGCTATAATAGGTAGACTTGGGAACATGCTTTTATTGTTTTGCTGGCATTCCTTTTTCCTTCTAAAGTGGTAATAGGGAGACAGGGGTGTATTCTCTGTGTTGTATACCAAGGGAAATATATTTGGCCATTCTGGAAGGCAAGGGGTCCAGGCACGTCCTTCCTCTCTACCTGATCATTTCCCTTTTCTTTGTTTCCATTAATGGAAGTGCCCTTTAGGAGAAAAAGACACTTTCTTGTCCTCAAGAGTTGCTTAAATATTAAATTAGAGCCTCCATTTCTTTGTGCCTTACAGTTGGGGAGTTACCATTTTAAAGCATTTCCCATTTCTAGCAGGAAACAGCTTTGAAGCAAAATGACTAAAAGAGGTACATAAGAGGGGAGGGTCCATGGGGAGACATTAATCACCTCAAGACTCTCCTTTCTTGTTACGATCATTGATCATTGAGTAGGAAGAGGGCCAGTCAGTGGCAAAGGCAAAGAGTTAACATGGGAGACTCATCATTGTAGGATGTGTGGTTAGAGCCTCACTGTTAGAGAAGGGGAAATGTCTACAGGAGATCAGAACTTGGTGCCTCTGCCCATGAGTTTAAGGACAGCAAAGTTGTAAGTGGCAGCAATCATAAAGGTGAGCTGTAGGAAAGAGAAGAGAGAATATAAATGAGTGGAAAAAGGAATCTTTTTCTTCTCCAATCCTTTGGGGAACGAAATAAGGTAGAAATCAATCATAATTAAATAAAGGAACAACTCCTCTTCAAAAATGCAGCAAATCCTAGGCTTTGACCCTATATTCTTTTTGTTGTTTTTATATTTTAATGAGGCACCATGATGAACAAAGTTGTTCATAATAGTTTTAGGCATACAATGTTTTAGCACTAATCTCACCCACCACCATCAGTGTGACATTTCCTCCACCACTATCCTCAGGTTCCTTCCTTCCCCTCATCCCAAGCCTGTCTTCTCAACTGGTACTTTTTTTCATTATTATTATTTTTTTTTATTAGTGAAACACGAGAACATTTCCATAACATTTCCTTCCAATGGTTCAGGCCCAGAAAACCAACTTGATAAGAATTTTCCCAGCACATGTGCTTTGCCTGTCTCTGACATTGACTCAATGAAATGAACATAATAATGGACTCTGGGGCTGGAGCTATATTACAGTGGGTAGAGTGCTTGCCTTGCACACAGCCAACTTGGTTTTAATCCCTGGTTCCCCATATTGACCACCAAGCTTTGCCAGTAGTGATCCTTGAGTGTAGAACCAGTAGTAAACCCTGAACACTACCAGATATGGCCCCAAAACCAAATAAAAATAATAATTCACAGACTCTGCTTCATATTCACAAGTCTGAGTGACCTGAAGTCACAGGATATTTACTACAGAAACAGTTACACGTTGAACACAATTCTCCTTTGCTTAATACATCAAATTATTTTACAAGTTGAAGAACAACTTTATAAAAACCTCAGCAGTAGTAACAAGGAGTTTTAAGAGCTTAATCTTGTCCTTTGACTACTTAACCATTGACTCAAAATAAACCACTTTACCCTTCAGTGTACTGGGTTTTTAATATAAACAATGAACACATTATTCACCACAATGACCCTGGTCTACAACACCATCAACAGAACTTGGGACAGAGAATCAAATAATAGTAATAATTCTAATAATGATAGGAGGCTTGGAAAATCTTCTAGTATTTTCAGGATAGTAACTAAATCCCTTGGAGAGTGCCCAATATGGATACACAAGTTTATAGTGTATAGAACTTTTAGCTACAGAAATTTCATATTTTGAAGCATTTCAGCACTTTATTTAATAGACTAAAGGACTTTATATACAATTTTTGTTTTTGTTTGGATTGGTGTATTTTTTGCACTATCAGGGATCAAACCCAGGACCTCACATATGTGAGGCAGGTGTTCTACCATTGAACCACATCCCTGGCACCATGTTTCAGTGTGGGGACTAAATGACTGATCAAATCAGAATATGAAGAGAATTAACTATAACCTGTTACTTAGATGAACTTGCAAATATTATATGCTTCATGTATGCAAAAATATTATCATCCTAGACCATAAATATCTTACCTCCTCTTTTCTCATATAAACTTTCTTGTTCAAAATCTCTGATATTTTTTTGCCTAGTAAACCCAAGTATAAATGCATAGTCTCTACACTTTGCTATTTCTTCCCATTACCTCTATCCAGCATTTCAAGATTATAAAATGTCTCTTATTTTCCTTTCAGCACAACTATACCCAGGCTATCCCAGGATCTTTTATTTGCCAAGATTATCCAAAGACAACTTACCAGGGAAACCAGTGTGGCTGCAGCCCCCACAAATGCAGCAATAAACAGGTGGAAGGTCATTTGGAACTGCAAGAAAATGTGAAAAAGAAGAATTGTTTCTTCCTATAGCAAAAACATGCTCTGCTGGAGATCATGGTGTTGATTTTCTGAATGTGTTCCATGTGTTGATTCTTCCTCTCTAATTAAGTTGTTGCTTCCCTGAGTGTACTCATAACTCTCTTTCAATGTGCACATCAGGCCCTATAACACTCCTAACGGAATTCTCAGAAAATACTATAATTATCCCACATAATATACTGGTTCCTTATAGTTATGTCCAGAATACTCAAAATTTAAGTCACTCTTTTACCTCCAAATACATACTTCCTACTCAGGATTTACTTTTATGCCATTACCTCATTTACATGTAATAGCTATTCACAAAAGAGGATTCCACTATTTTCAAATGTATTTTTAAAAAAACTTTTCAATGATTGAAAGTGTTTTGTAAAACTGCTAACTTTTTCTGTGTACAACACTTTTTCTTGGCATTTTTAACTAATATAGTAATAAATTTATTTGGGGGCATTCATCATTAAACTTTATAGTTACTGAAAGCCACAAATTTCTCATTTAAGAGAGGAAGTCTTAGAACTGAAGAATATCTATATAGCTCTAAGGAAAACAAATATTATATCATCTATGCTCACTGGTTCATAATTCTCAGCCAATGTTTTGTAAAAGGTTATTTGTTAACTCACAACCCAGTAAGGGGAAACTGCAACTTTGAAAACAGATAATAAGTAGGAATTTGCATAGGTTACATTACATTGTAAAGTAACCCCAAGTCTCACTCACCTCAGCTGTTTTGCAGATGGACAGAAGGTTGGAGCCACACACTTTGCCAGGGAAAGCATTCCATGGGAGAACACCTAAATAAGATACACAAATTAACTAGGGCAAGCTTCATGAAGTTGTGTGACTACATGAACACTCTCCTTCAGAGTTATCTTACATTTTTAATCATCCTGGCTAAAATGTTCAAACCTATAAACAATCAGAATCTTCTTTTCTGAAAATTTACCCCAAAATATTTGGTAATGAAAATTTGTGAGATCTTAGGCTTGTTAAATATGTGTTCCTTCTAGGCTGGAACAGCAAACAACTAGAATAAAGTCAAGCTGTAAGCATCCAAGAAAACGTCCATCACTTGTAATATGTTCCCTTCCAAGAAAAAAGATCCCTCTATTTTCAGTGGATATAGAGTAACAAAATGAGATTCCAGCATTCACAATCCTAGGTTTTTTCCATATTTACTTACCACCCTCCTTTCTCTAAATGAAGAACCAAATATGTTTCTATAGGTTAAGGAAATCAAGGTGCTAATCCCTAACTCACCATACATTCTGGCATCAGCACAGAGATTGCTTATACTGGTAGAGATCTTGCTGGGGGTGGCAATAGATTGGCAGGTGGTCCAGGTGTTGAAGTAAATGTACACAGGCACAGCAGAACACGCAAACACCAGGAGCCACACAACGGTCAGGGCATAAGTGATGCCCACAAACTAAAACAATTGACATGAGGTGATTAGATATCAGCATTAGCCTGAGGATATTAAAACAAACTGAGAGATCCTGGAGTGGCATGTATCAGACATGAAACCAGATTCCAGGGATCTCTGTCAAATGAAATTAGTAAATAGGACCCCTTTGCCAAATGTAATTGGCAGTTTCTACTAGAGAACTGGCCCAAAATGTGACAGAGGGTGAGGGTAGGGAAGGTTGGAGTGAGGAGGATCCCTGGATTAGAGAGGCTTCAGGAGATTTGGGGGAGGGGCAGATAAAGTGTAAAGATATCAGAACAGATCTTGAAAGAAAGTAGTGCTATTTCTTGCCTAAAGCTGAGCTTAGAAATTATTCTTTATCACATATTTTTGATCCCTAGTCATTGAATAAAGCCAATAGGAGATTTAAATTCCAGATCCAAAAACCTTTCTAAGCCAACTGCTGACCACAAATGACATCACCACACTCACACATTTTAGACTCCAAAAGATCTTTAATTCTGGAGACTGAAAATAAAAACCAATTTATGCCTCACTAGAAGCATGGCTAGTCCTCAGAAAAAATGAAGTACTGAATATGCAGATTCATATTTTTTCCCTCCGGGAATTTCAACAGTGTAGAATTCCAGAATGTTGTGAATTCTGTCTTGGAGTCAATTTTTATAATTTCTGTGATCCACCCTCTCTTGCAGATCGGGTACATTCATTTCAATTCCATGAGTAGCATTTTAGGTTCTTGGGCTTTCAGATCTATTCTTTTAGTGTTATCTGATAGATGAGATGTAAAGGCATACCACCAGATGGCTTAGAAATAGTCTGATTTACAAAGCATATCACAAAACTCATGCTTTCCATTTTGAGATCTAATTTTCTAGGGAACTTTTGAAAGGCGATGTTAAGCCAGCTGAGCACCACGTTCTTCCTGATCTTCTCGTTCAGCTGTAGCCATCACTTCCTCACTCAAAAGCCAGGCCCCTAGAGGAGGACCCAGCCTTGTGTGTGGGTGAGGCCACAACTCATGCCCAATTGTCCCCCACCCCTTGTTATTGCCACAAAATCCTGAGGATGATCACCTTGTCGGGATGTCCTAGCCATTTTCCCAAACAATGACACACCCGCTCCAAAGAATGAGCTTGATGTTGGCCTCTGGAACCCCTCCCCTTCTGGCCCCCTGTTACCGTTGCACTCAGGCCCTTGCCGCAGATGGTGGTCTTGTAGTCGCCAAAGATCTGCCTGACTGCGCCGGTGGTGTAGAAGCCCTCAGCCAGCAGGAGGGCCCCATAAAGGAAGAAGAAAGAGGCAGTTCCATAGATGACATACTGGAAGCCATGGATCCTGCATTAACAGAAAAACAAGAGAAACAAGGAAATCCTGTTAACTGAGAACCTGGTTATTTTCCTGCATAAATGAGGAGGACACTTGGGTGGGCACCTAAACAATGTTAGGGCTTCTGTATAGGGACGCTAGACTCCCTCTACTTGGTTTCTCCTTCTCTATATTGAAATAAAGGAAGATGTAAATATGTGGCTGAAAGCACAAGCTAGCTAACCATGTGACCTGAAGCACTGGGACCCTTTTCTCCTGGGTCTGAACATTAGGATATTCTCCCTCAGAGGGTAAGGGAGAAGAAAGAGAGGAGCTAGATGTGAAGAAACAGGAGCCTAACCTAATCTAGGAAAAGGGATGGTGGTGCTTAGTACATACCTGAACAGACTTTAGAGCAGGGTTTCTCAAACTTTGTGTAACTGTGGCCCCGTTTCAAATGTTGTCCCTGTGCCCCTCAATCCTACCAGTTGGACCTCAATTTACATAATTTTCACATGTGGCCCCCTTGAAAACTCCTGGGGGTCCACACAGGACCATGTGGCTCCTGGTTGAGAAATGCTGCTCAAGCTGTGTGTCAAACCAAGAGCAGTAGCCCCTCTTGGTCCAATTATTGTGACTCCTCTGAGTTCTCCAAACATAAAGCACTTCAGAAAGTCCAACTCATGAAACTAGAACATGTGGAAGAAAGCAAGATAGATGGGATGGAGGTAAATAATAATGGCAGATCCACTTGTAAAATATTTGATACCCCTCCCCTTACTTAGAACTTTGGATGTGGCATATGTGGAGTCTGTGTAACAGAAAACTCTAGAATCCTCTTAGTATTCACACTAACAACCTGCTAGTTACTACGGTTCTAATCCACTGTGTCTCCAGAATAAAGATAAGGGAAAAAGAAATGGATCTGTGCAAATAACAGGTACTTACACATTGATGAGATACTCATACTCCTGGTAGTTTTTGGAGAAATAAGTCTCAATTAGCTTTTCTGTGCCGGTGAGTGCTTCATGTCCACAGCCACAGAACAGTGCCACCCCAAAGAAACACAATCCAGTGGCCACCAGGGAAGCAAAGGGGGCCCCTACCAGACATCTTGCACAGCATTCTAACAAGCCTGAGGAAAAAGGAGGGAAAGTATTCAGGAATGTATAATAAATTGGTAGCTTTTTCCACTCATATCTCTCCATGCAAGTACAAAGACCAAAAATAGGAGGGCATAGAGATTTAAGTGTTTGTAATGTGAGAGTGACACACAAAAAATCAAGTATTGGATTTTGATCCCCCAAACCACCTGGTCCCCTGAACACTGCCAAAAGCTAGCTCAAATCATCAAGTCGGAAGTGATTCTTTAGCACCATTGAGTGTTACCTAAAGAACAAAAGAAAAACTTGCGTTTTGTTCCATTTTCAAAAATAAATCCTTACCTTTAATTCCCAGAATTAATTTTAATAATCAGCAATTCAATAGAAAACTAGAGATATTATGCAATTTATCTCTTCTTTCACATCATTCTGACTAGTCTTCATCACTCATCAACTATTTATGGAGTACTCACTATGTGCCCATCATTGTGCTAGGTGTTTCGTGGACTAAGATACATAAACTTTGCCATATGGTAGTCTTTAATTATTGAGAACAATGGACTAAGTACAGCAAATATTTTCAACAATTCCAAGCAGCCAAATAAAAAGTGGTTACAAAGAGAGAAAGAACTTAGAGTTCCAGGAAAGTATGAGTGTAGGTCAGAGATCCTGGCATTATTACACAGGGCCCAGAAGAGTATTCATGTGGGGTAAACTTTGGAAATTGCATGTGCCTGGATATTTCTGGATATTATGTATATCTGTTACACAGAATGCTTGATTCATCTTAGTCTAGATATGTGTGGAACAGTCTAAAGGGAAGGATGGAACTAGTAGAGACACAAGATGGCAACTGGAAGGTTACTATTATTATTCATGCTAACAAAAATGCAGGACTAATGATTTGGGGACACTTTACAAGGCTGATTTGTTCGCTTATACTCAAGCTTGGCCAATGTCCCCACCCCAACCACAGTCCTAAATTGAATTTCTGTCCAAACACAAAGAGACTTTATACAAAGTGAGCAAACATCTCTCTGGTGTGACTAAAACAAGACAGGGCTTCTGAACACAGGTGTCCTAACATGCTAAAAGTCCCTGATAAACCCACACCTGGTACCCCAGGGCCCATCCCAGTGTTACTTACTGAGAAATGGGAAAGGGATATAAGAACTCACAGGCTGTGAAAGCAGTTGTATCCCAAGTGTCAGTACCACACTCTAGAGTGTCACATGAAGTGAAACTTAATAAATGTCATCTAGATAAATGATTGATTAGATGGGAAAGGATGGCTCTCTATAGCCACTTAACCAGATCCCCCAAAGGTGGAAGCAATTAAATTGTTAAGCTCCTCAGAAAATATTTCCCTCCCTCCTCCCTCCCTCCCACTTTCCCTCCTCCTTCTTCCTTCCTTCCTTCCTTCCTTCCTTCCTTCCTTCCTTCCTTCCTTCCTTCATGTCTTGCTATGTGTGTGGTTGTATAAGTTTACACTATTTGATTATACTTATATATCATATAGGATATGCATGTATCTATAACTAAACATGCAAATAATCAGTACAAATCTGCTGAGAAGCTGTTATTTTAGAATAAATATATTGTGAGTCCTTGTGGAAAAAAAAGAAATTGCATTAAAATTTTTATTTGGATTTTTATTCCAAGTTTATTCATTTGTCTATAGCAGGTACCATGGAATATGGGAGTACTTTGCTGGATCCTCTTAAATCTAGTAGGGTTCTTTTCATCCCTGAGTCAAACTGTAGATTGAACACCTGTTAAATTTTATGGCTGAATTGTATCAAAGTGAACATATTTTGAATGACCAAATTATCTCTAACGTGGAAAAATTAGGTGGCATGTGCCTCTGTTTCCAGAGCCACAGAATAAATAAGTCATTTTAAATCAGCACTCCCTAAAATGGCAGTACTTCCTTGGTCCTCAGATGTTATTTTATTTTTTGTTTTTGGGTGATATCTGACTGTGGTCAGGCCTCACTCCTGCTTTTGAGTTCATGGATCACTCCGGGAATCATATGTGGTGCCAGAGATCGAAATCAGGTTGGGCTTTTTCAAGGCAAGTGCTCTACCTACTGTGTACTATCACTCCAACCGAAAGAATCTTGTATGCCTCTGCAGAGGAGAGGTCCAGAGCCTCAAGACAAATGAAATATATAAAATTTACAACATAAATAAATTTCTTTCATTATCTGGAAAGGGAAGTACTACTGCTTAAAGATATGCCCTCTATAGAAAACAATCACTTTGTAGTACCGCTGTTGTAATTGTAGGTAGTTTACTCAGCATGAAATGTGCAAGAATACTTGGTAAGAGTGTCTTATCAAGGACCAGAGAAACAGTGCAGAGATTAAGGTACTACATTGTGTGTGGTTGACAATACACGGTCCCCTGAGCAATGTCGGAGCAAGCCCAAGCAAAGATCAGGGAGTGGCCCTGAAACTCCACTGACTGTGGCACACCCCCCCTTACCACACACACACACACACACACACACACATTGTGACTCATCAGAGTTGGCCTATGGTACATACATATGATAGCAGGTGTTCTTTTATCAATTTATCTTTGCATGCATGCAGACATGTACATGTCTGCACGTATATACCAGAAAGAAAAACACAGCAGCTGAAATGTTTGTTCTCAGAAAACATTCCAAAATGTAGATTCCATCTTTCACAACATATTAAAATGTTAAATGGATCCTGTGAATCAAAAAAAATGGAGTTTGGAAATAAAGAGTGCTAGCATTTTTTCTGTCTATCCAAGTCTTCCCCACTCCCAAACTCTTACTCTTGTTGTAAAAAAGGTCTCTGAAGCTTGGGATGGGGGAGGGAAAGGTCAGTGACCCCACTGTTCGGTCTCTCCATATCACAGGGTCAGGGCTTGGACAGAGCCCTCCATAGCTCCCTGGGACAAAGAAGCCTTGTTTTCCCCCTGAGATTTCAGGAGCCTCATTAGTATTCTGCAGGGGTTCACAGGCCTGGGGGTGTGTGGGGGGGGTCAGACCCATGGAACAATGGAACAACTGTTTGTTTAGTCCAGAGTAAGGAGAGCCATCTATTTTTGCAAGTGACTGTCCTTGGCCCACTCACACACCCCAGTCTTTTCACTCTGAGAGGGGCTAAATGATGGTGCAGGTGTGATCAGAGATGGAGGAACTTGAACTCTTGCTAATCAAACAGAGAACTCCTTTTTCTGTTTCATTAGCACTCAAGACAAGGGACAAGAAGGATATAGGCAATCTCTGATGTTAAACTAGAAATATGGATCACTGTCACTGTCACTGTCACTGACCTCCCGTTGTTCATCGATTTGCTCAAGCGGGCCCAATAACGCCTCCATTGGAGACTTTGTTGTTACTGTGTTTGGAATATCGAATACACCACGGGTAGCTTGTCAGGCTCTGCCGTGCGGGCGAGATACTCTCAGTAGCTTGCCGGGCTCTCTGAGAGGGGCGGAGGAATCGAACTTGGGTTGGCCATGTTGGCTGCGTGCAAGGCAAACGCCCTACCGCTGTGCTATCGCTCCAGCCCATGGATAAATATAGATAAATCATAACATTATTGATAAATATAGATAAAATAACTATAGAAAAAACGTAACAAATAGTTCAACAATATCAATAAAATTATCAGCTATCTATCTCTTTACAATAAATAGTGAGGTGTTTGTTCTGGATGTATTTATGTTAAGGAGAAATGAGTAATCTGTCCATGCCAAAAAAAAGAAGAAAAACAATTTTTGGATTCCAACTGGAAAAACCAAGAACATGCAAAAAATATTGATCTTCATAAAAGTAGCTGATAAAGCATTTTCAGAAAGGTTTCTTGGGTTCAATTTCATTTTTCGCAGCCCAAGAAGTGTTCTTAGAAATGTGTGATGAGTAGTGTAAAGCCACATGCCCTCCATTTTCTTTATGGTTGAACATTTTATGATCAAAAGGGTTTCAGTTGATTTAGGAAGCTGTGAAAGATTCTGGAAAGTTCCTTGACTCTCCCAAGATATAGTCTCACATTTCCAGACCAAGTATAGGCATAAAATGGTAGAATTTGCATAGAATTACTAAATCACAATATTACCCACAGCAACTCTAAAGGCCTAAAAAATTCTAAAGGCCCTCCCATTGATCATTGATTTGCTCGAGCGGGCCCAGTAACGTCTCTATTGGAGACTTTGTTGTTACTGTGTCTGGCATATCGAATCCTCTCAGTAGCTTGCCGGGCTCTCCGAGAGGGGCGGAGGAATCAAACTCGGGTCAGCTATGTTGGCTGCGTGCAAGGCAGACGCCCTACCCGCTGTGCTATCGCTCCAGCCCTCAATTGAGCTAAATCACCTGGCTATGATAAAAGGTAGTAGAAAAAAATGGCCCTCCCTAGTGTTTTCCATCCATTTTTATTATGTTAAGTTTGTACATTATTACAGTAACAGTAACTTAGACTCTATGACAATTAAAAGAGTTCAGTCCCTTTTATTAAAAAATATGTTCAGTCCCTTTTATCCAAGACATTTTGGTATTGTCATGGAAAACAATCTTATGTTTTTGAATCAAAGACCAAAGCTACCAATATGATAGTGTTTAAATATATTATCTAAATTTATCTGCAAACTCCTAAAACTAATGTGATCAATCACTGAAAAAAACTTACAGCTATTCTCACTACTGCTCTTCACAAGAGCCTAAAAAAGATCAACAAGAACATTGCAATGCTTATCCAGATCCCTGTCCATCCAAGGACTATGTTGCTGCTGATACTTTCTCTTTAAGCAGGAGCCAAGAGCTCCCAAGCCCTCCTTTCCCATGCCCTGAGCATGCCTCAAGAACCAGTTACACGATGAAAATTCACTGAGAATCTGGAAGCTCATCAAAGAGAGGAAAGGAAAGGCTTTCACCATGGAACGGGATGGCAGAAAAAGACCAATTGTGCCTTGTACAATTCCCTGCCTGTCCCTTAAATCCAAATGACAAAGGGAGAGATAGAAGAACCCTATACAATAAAGCTAAATAACAGGCAGGCTCATTGAGTGAAAAAAATGGCCTCATCTCCCTAAATATCTAATCTGCACTAGTCTTACCCTCCTCCCAGAACCCACCCATTAACCTCACTCCATGAACAGAGGCCTCCTTGATCAGGGCCTACAGCAGTTGACAGGGCCAAGACACCACAGCAGCCGTGACTGGTACTGGGGATGGATGGGGATTGGTGGGTTGGGCTTAGGAGTAAAACAACAGTCATCAGGAGGTGCCAGAAACAAAAACATTTGCTTCTAGCCTTACCCTTGTCAGACAAAGATAATCTTGTCTTTTCTATATGAAATCAGCATTTACACCACAATTTAGTGCTGGAAGGCACTCTACTACCACTGGAGAGTGGCATTCATTCTACCAGATATCAATCAGTGGACAGAGTTAAATAATAAGGAACCTAATCCTCTTCTTTAGATAGGTATTATCATTACCTTGACAATGGCATCTGGACCACATTGCTTATAATATTCCCCACTTCTACAAAGTGCACGCACACACTTAGGAGTATGCACACACAGAGACATGTGTGTGCATGTGTGCATCTGTCAATTTATTCCCAAACACTGGGACAATGGAATAGAATTTGAGGTCTGATTCTTAAACTCTAACCTTAACACACCGTTTTTACCTTGCCTATTTACCAAAGTCTTAGAAAAGTATCCGGTAATAAGCTAAGCTAAGAGATAAGTTTCCATACTTATTCCTTAGGTCAGTTTATCCTCAAATTTCTCTTTTCTCCTTGTTTGCAATGTAAAGTTTATCCCAGAAACATTGTTCTCTTCCTTGGCATGCTACTGCTTCTTTTCCAACGCTGTATTTGATGAGAGTTCTGAGACCAGTGCAGAGCAGAGAGATCATTCGTGGGACCAATTTTTAATAGCCAGGGAAGAATTAATAAGTACTTTTATGTTTTTTATATGTAAGTTTGGCACTCCGTAGGGTCTCAGAGTAGGAAAGGACGGAAAAGTTGTATAGATTTACTTGCTGTAGCTGATGTGACTTTTCCTGATCACATCATTGCCCTGAAAGGATTTTCTCTAGACCCAGAGATCTATGGGCAAAGAGGGAATTTGGTATTGTTGTATTATTTCAAGACCAGGAACTATACCCTGTAGATTACTTTCAAGGCTTAAAGATAATACACAAAAAGGCAACAAGGGAAAAGATGTTACTGTCTGGGGTTCTTCCTTAATGGGTTTGTAGACTATGTACCTCTGTATTCCATCTCTCCAGGGTTTCTAGGGTCTTGTTTCTATATGAATAGCTTTGAGAAAGTAGTTCCTGCTGTCAAGTTGTTAAATAAAAAGCTGCAAAGGTAGGGCCAATGGAGAGTCCTTGAAGCAGAACAGACCTTTCAATCCATCGACCTTTCCATCCATCTTCCTGGTTTGTCAAGAGTTTCTCTGGCTCTACAATGTTGAGGTAAGGAATAGGCTAGATAAGACTGATCCTGATCATTTTAGTTGGTATCTCTGGGACAAAAAGTGAATGAGCTGACTTGGAACTGATTACCTTTTTAGGTCCTGAGATACCTATAGCATTCTTGCCATCTTGGTGAGACTCAGTTACTCCTCTTGCATTTTGTAAAAAGAAAAATGGACCCCAACTCTGTCTCCACACCTTTTTTTGCCTGAGCTAAATCTACTTACTTTGAGCCAGACAAAACTCTGCACTCCACAAATAGCCACCTTTGGAGGAAAACATCAGAGTCTGGTTACCAAGGTAACAGCCATTATTCTCAAACAACAGGCTTACAGGAGCCAGTGTTTTGCTGTTCGATCATGTCATTGTGTTTCTGAGCAGAGAATAATCAGTTACTGCTCTTTGACTCTTTTCTGGTTCCATTGTTATCCCAAAGATTCACTTGGAACATCACTTCCCAAGTCAAGATAAGGATTAATTAGCTATTACTTCCTACATAATTTTTGTGCGAATACTACTGAATTCAATGTTTTTCTTCTTTTTCAATCTTTGGTAATTCTATATGATTGAGATAGTTAGTGTCCTATTCCTGGAGGTGATTAAGTAAAAGCTGTAGGAGTGTTTAATCATCTATTGTATAAGAGAATCACATATGCTTTGAGAATAGGTTTCTAAAGTTCTTTACAATCCCAGATTTTGTGATATAGTTTGGATACTGCGATTTTAAACAGCAACACACTCCAAAAGTTCTACTTCTTATTAGAAATTGCCTATCATTTACAAAGTATTTGTGATACTGTACACTAATAATTGAAAACGCAATAGCTACTCCATCATGTGCACTGGTCCAAATATCACCCCCTCCCAGGATCTGGAATCCAGTATCTTACTTCAACTATGCCCTTATCTGTGGCAATCTCCCTTGAAGAAAACCACCCTGCCTCCATAATAAGAAAGCACCCTGTTGTCACCATTTTTCCTCCTGTATTTTCCACCAGACTTTTGTCCCCTATTTGAATAATATTCAATTTCCTTTGTTATCTCTCCCCTGTTTTTAAATCACAATATACTAAGACAGCTGCTGTGATTTTAGGTAAGGTACCTGATGTCACTTAAAGTGGGAATTGAGTTACTTCGACCATTAGTTCTCACCTAGTCACACATCATTGGTCGGACGATTCTGACCCAAACACACAAAGTAAACGCACTACTTAAAAAAGAGTAAGTTAGCCTGCCATGCGTTGTTATATAATAATCAGTATTATCATGATTTATAAATGATATGATATAGAACTTGCCCATTTCCGAAGGACCGGCACATAACTATTACCTGATTCTCACAACCCTAAAAGTACGCAAAGCAGTTATTGTTAGTCTCACTTTTCAGACAATGAAGTTAAGATTCACAGTCATTAAGTCAAGGTCATGCCGTGCTAAATCTAGAATTCAAACCTAACTCTGTAGACTGAATCCAGTGCTCTGAATTTCCCTACCTGAATCCAAATTTCAAAGATCTCTTAATGTTTCAGGAGAAAACAACCTAAAGGCTTACACAAGTTCAGTGTAATTGAAAACCTATGTCCATGGATGTTGTTGGCATATTCTGGATATTATACTTCATGGTTAATGTACAGGTCAATTCATTATCATTTCATATGATGCATTCAAACCTTATTAGCTTTAACAAACATGAATGATGTCTATATGTCTCTGTGAGATCCTGTAAGGGCGAAGATCCTTATGCTTCTACATCTTTTCCTCTGGGTACACACCAGCAGAGACTAGAACTTCGTAGTATCTTTTTTTTTTTCACCATGGAACCTAGAAAATCTCTGGAAAATTCCTGGGAACTTAGTAAGTAAGCAAAAGATCTAAGGTCTTAGTAACCTTTTTGTCATGTCTGGTATTTAAAATTTAAGATATGCCCTCAGGAAAGAAAAGTCTCTAATATCCCCTAGACATGGTTTACACACACATATACACATGCGTTCAAGAGTGCAAAAACACAGACATGCAAATACAAAGACAAACACCTCCACAAATCTGTTCCCCAGGCTAAAGTCATTCAAGTTTTTTCTCATTTTCTAACACTAAAATTGATTCCCTCAATCATGTCCAAATCTAAGTCCACCTTGCCCAATTACCCAATTTCCTACTGATGCAAAAGCATGGTCCAAATGCATCAAACACGCAGTCATTTGTGCAGTACTCTGTCATTTACAGCAGAAGCAGGAATGTCAGATGACCTGGCCATTAGTCGGCTAGGGAACCAGGAAAAAGGAGAAAGTAGAGAGAAGAAAGCGGGTAGGAGGACACATGACCGTATGCAACCTGCTGGGCACTTTCACCAAGATCTGTGGGACTCTCCATGTGCTGCTGGTATTCTTTGGCAATAAAACACTATTTTCAGTGCACCAGAGAAGGAGTTAATATAATTGACCACTGAGGAATTGAAAAGAAAATAAGTTCCAAATACAACCCATTATAACATTGGAGACCCCAGATCCCAAAGTTGGAAATGCTCTTACAAATTACAGTGCCTGGTAGAATATTCCATGTTTAAGTTTTTGAAACTCACCCATGTCTTTGGGACTCTGATTCCAATTGTAGTCGGCTGGCTAGTCTGCTTTGCGGCTGACTTGGTTCAGCTGGAAGGATCCTGGTCTCTCCAGTTCCTTTACTTTTTCTCTCTGAGTATCTTTGTCCTCTTCTCCTGTAATGAAAAGGGCTTTCTGATTGACAGCCAACCCCCTTAAAGGGACAGGGCTGCTTTCCTCCTCCTCTCCTTCTTCTCTCCTCCTCTTCTCCTCCCCTTGTCCCCACCTCCTCAGGGATACACCCTTCTCTATGGGCTCCATCTTCTCTTTCTGCTTTTAAATGCCAATTGTTTCAATTTGCATCCTTTCCCCTTTCCCCCTACTCTTGCCTGAGTGTAATTTTACTTTGCTATAGAGACATTTGAAAATGTGGTTCCAGGTGGAAATAAGAAGAGGTTTTGGAAGCTTCCAATTGAACCTTTGGGTCTACATGGTTGTGATGGGATGTGACAGCACAAGTGTCAGTGCTGAAAGTAGAAGCCCTGGTGAGGGAGTCGGGATGAAAAATCTAGATGCTATCCTCCAGAGTCCTTCCAACTTTGCCTCATCTCCACCCCTCACTTCTAGCTGCCCTTGACCATGTCTACTTCCCCCACCCCTTAATTCTTTGACATATAACCACTCCTTCCGTCACTCAGGTCTAGAAACATAGTAAAGAATAAAACATTATCTTTTAAAACAATTTCTTCCAAATCCTTCCTTATTTCAACTGAGTAAAGACAAAATGCTTCTGTGTACTCCACAGACTGTGTATGACCAAGCTGGCAGAGGGTATAATTACAATCATTTTCTAGATAGGATAGTAGCTGTCTATGGCCATATCATCCTGAATGTGCCCAATCTCGTCTGATCTTGGAATCTAGATAGGATAGCAGAGACCCAAGAAGAGACAAGAACTGTGCAAGTTCAAGTGAGAGGAGGCTAAAGAAAAGGTCAAAGTTAACGATATGGGTTATTTCTATGGAGGGTAATTCAAACTGAGTCAAGTCAAAGACGTGACTTGAGTACCAGGTAATCGATATCCCTATTCTGAGAATGTAGTGTTTTTATCAAAGAGCTGAAGTTAGGCTGTGAGATGGAAGGAATGGGTTGGATTGAAAGAATAGGAACGAGAGAGGTTGGATAGAAAAGGAAATGAAATACTGTCTGTGCCTCAGAAAAAGAAACACTAAGAAAGAATGGCCAAGCAGTAAAAAAAATCAAAGAACTTCTCTTATTAATAAGAGTTGATTTTAAAGAAAGATCGTAGAGGTATTTTAGTGGCCAGTGCTAGATGGGATTGGCATATTAAGATTTTCTAGAAGATGTGGGTCTTAATCAGTCTATCTGGGTGTCTTGTTAGTGTTCTCAGAAACCTCAGAGACACAACTCTCTTGACCTTGAGGCACACATTCTTCCATGGGTGTCCTATATAAGGAAATTATTCAGCATATAATTTAAAAAGTGCATGCTAAAAGACTCTATGGAGAGACAGGAGGGCATTACAGATATTTTTCTATATTTTTCACTTGGGGGGGTTAAGAAAGGAGAGGAAGGATTGCCTAGAATCTTCCTGTGGGAGAAGAGAGGTATGACTATGGCTTACAGTTTTCTTTTGGGGCTGTGACCTTGTACAGATTTCTATCTTGATCTTTTCTCTTAGAAAATAGGTGAGTCTTATAAAAATGTTTTTATGGGTCCACCAGGATCCTGAATCATCTAGTGTCTGAGTCCTAGAATATTTGCTATTATGCCAGCATTAAAAAGACATAATCACAGTAAATGTTATCTCTTTGGAAGAATGGTATAAATTATCTTTTAAGAACAGAACAGACTGATGGTAGATAGTTCTGGGATACATGACTTCATATGCTCTCCTCTTCAGTCATAGACCCTGCCTGCTGAGGAAGCTAAGTTATAGGATTGTGTCAACAATCAACTTTAGGGTGTTTATTGTCAGAATAGAGCTGGAGGAAGAGAGAACCCGGAGCAAGAAGTCTCCAACTATGTGCTCCGCACTCTCCAGATGGCAGAAGTAACTGAGTTAGATTTTTCATGATTATAACTAAGGATAACTAAGGATAAGAAAGTGATGGTTTTAGCTCAAATAGATGATATAGTTGTGCACACAGGAGATATCACCAAGTCTCACAAATCTTCACCAGGATTCTTATCATGAACTCTTGGAACTGCTAGTATACTTGGAAGAAAATATGTGCCTCCAATAAAGTCGTAGACAACAATTTATCAGCAACATCCCCCAATCATACATTTCTGCCCTTCCATCTCCAATGTTTCATTTTGTTCTCTTTTCAAATCTCAATCATTCCTAGTTTGTTTACTCTCTCTGCTTCCCTCTGTGTGTCTCTCTTTTTTCCCTCTCCACACTCCTTTATGGAGTATGTCCTCCTGTCTTCACGCTGTCCTTATGGCCAGAGATTCATTCTCATCAACCCCAGTGCCTGAATGTTCCTAGTTCTTTGGAATCTAGTGTTACACTCTGCCTCGGCACCCGTTCACTATCATAATGCAGAGTGCTCCTCTACGGGACTCCATAGCAGTCGTGCTTTCCAGGTCCCCAGGGAATATTTTTATCCACCTTTCCTTAACTACTTCTATAGCTGTGCTTCCAAAGGTTCCTCTGAATAACCTTGGCAAAATTTTCTTCAGTCCAGCTGGATCTCCGCAATGCCCAGAGATTCCTCAAGAGGGCACTACCAGCTTTCTCAGTGGCTGCCTACTGCCCGCACAGGGTGCCTGTGGAAACAATGCTGGATTGTGCAAAACTCGTAAACAGTTTGCTTCATGCAATACTGATGGCACCTCTGAGGACTGGGACCCCAGCTAGCTTTGGTTCTGTAGATTTCTTATAAATAACTCCCAGAGGCTTAAATATTACCACCACTCTCTGTTGTCTGATCCCACAGTACCAAATTCTTGAAAGGCCACTGGACACGAGATATTGAATAGACTGAACTCCGAAACTCAGGCAGGTCCAGTGATTGTCTGCCATAAAATTAGATGATAGTGCTACTGTCCAATCTGGCTTTTCACTGCTCTGTATCCACACAGAAGATTATAAAAGAAAACTAATAAGGCACGGTGCCAGTTAAAGTCTGAGGTCACTTGTCAGATTTGAACTTCTGGAACTGAGTCTTTCCTTCTCCCCAGGATAATGTCTTCTCAGGTGACCTAATTTCAAAGCCACTAATTTAAGAAGACAAGTGATTTTCTACGGGTTTCTAAGCCTGGAATATGACTGACCACTGAAAGGAAGCAACACACTATGACCTATCTACTTGCAGCTCAAAGATCCCACATCCATGCCAATTGTTTTGGCCATATCTGCCCCAAAGAACTGAGAGATGAGGGCCAGAGATTCAAACAATTTGAGCTATAGTGCAGCAAGGGGGGTGTATTTGGAAGTGTGGAGAAATTTTTTTCTCTCCTGAACATTCAAGAAACAGTAAGAGGATAGGAGGGATAGGGGATGAGTGGGATGGGCACTTGTAAGGAGAATATGCCCACAACTTGGTGATAGAATCAAGGGTAGCCTAGCAGCCAAAATAATCAGATGAATAAACTCAGGAAAATGCCTCCTAGGGAGCACCAAATAGCTACAGAGAAATATAGAAATCAGCTGTGCACATAATCCAATCTGCCCACATGAACACTCAGCCAACATTGATGTCTCCCTGTAGAGAGGTTCCTGATACAATATCTGAGCACAGAAGAAAGATAAATCTCCTTTGCTGTCTAATGCTCATGTAACTTCTGAGGATCAATGTTATTTTTTCCATTTTCCTGATGGGGCACAGAGACAACTTTTTTAATGACACCCAGAAGGCAAGGGGCAGAGCTATCGCTAGAGAATGACTTTCTCAAGTCTCTAATTATTTGGAAAATTATAGGAAGATTATTCTGCTCCAAAAATAATGCTCAACAAGATCCTCTAGCCTGGGTAAGAATAGCCAGGGGGAGACTGCTGAAACAGGGCTTAGGCAGCTGTGGCCTAAATCTGCAGCTCTCTGTCCTTCTCAGGCCAAGCAGGATGATCAAGTTGGAAATTCATGGCAGGGCAAGTTGTTGCAATTTATAGATCCGTGGGCTTCAAAACAGTCAAAATGATTAAATTAAACTAAGGACTTCTTGTATTAAGTAATAGCATGGAAATTCTGTTTTTTAAAGGTCTTAGGGTGGGATGGTGGTGGGACTGGGTGTTTATAGTACAAAGGGCTGATGGGCAGCTTTGATGAGTGAGACACAGCACCATATGTGGGAGTCCCAACATTCCAGCTCCTGAGCACTGCCAGGAACAATCCCTGAGCCCCAAGAACTACTCTGGGTGTAGCCTCTGGGCACCAACATGTGTGACCCCCCCAAAACAAGCAAACAAAATATTTATCAGTCTAAGGGCATAACTCCCATAATAGAGGCCATGTTTTGCAAACATGTATCTTTGGCATATGGTTCCTCAAAAAAAGTCTGATTAGTTACAGAGAAACTTATAAAGTGAAATATTAAAGAGGTATCTTATTTTTCCTCACCTGCAAGATTATAGTAACAAAATTAGATGACATAACATTGGTCAAATGTTGAAATTATTGAAACTGGATGATGTGCACCTGGACGTTAATTATATTTTTCTCTGTTTTGGAGATGGTTAAACTTGAAGTGAAAAAAGTGGAGCTATTAATGTCAATATTCAAACTAACCCTGAGCTGGCCACGGTTGGAAGCCTGCCTTATAAGCAGGGGGAGAAGGCAGCTGGGATAGAGAAAGGATCACTAAGTCAATGATGGTTGGAGGGATCGCTCGGGATAGGAGATAAGTGCTGAAAGTATATAAAGGTCCAAACACGATAGCCTCTCGGTATCTGTATTGCAAACCAGAATGCCCCAAAGCAGAGGGAGAGTAAGAATGAAATTGTCTGCCTTAGAGGCAGAGGGTAGGGTGGGATGGGGTAGGAGAGAGGTGTACTAGGAACATTGATGATGTAAAATGTACACTGGTGGAGAGATGAGTGTTAGATCATTGTATGACTGAAACTCAAACATTAAAGCTTTGATTGCATTCATCTGGGGGATATAAAGTAACAAAATATGAGATTAATACCCAAGAATAGCTGAGATCAGCACCAGGAGGATTACTCCATAGC